TTTTCGGTGTGCTGAATAGGAAGTTGATAGCCATTTCCAATTGTGATTTGTTGATTTCCTGTGTAGGGATGGCCAGATTGAAGGTTGGACGGATCGGATGTAAGATGATTTGATGCTCTAATGTCAAGAAACCAATCGGTAGTATTGCAGGTGTCGGACGGAGTGATTAAAGCAGTCTTGACGGATTCTTCATTGTAAGATGGATCGTTGCGATACCAGCATTTAATTGCTGAGTGTCCGGTTTTAGAGCAGATATGGCAGGTGATCCCGCTGGATGAGTTCTTGTCCGAGCGGCTGCGACCACGGTTTGACGTTCGGCCTCTACCAGAATTGTTACGCCCTCGACCCCTTCCGCGATAAGCAGCCAGAGCGGTTGCCGGATCAGTGAGATTAAGATTCCGGAGGGCAGTAGTGGTTTCTTGTGCTATATTCAGTTCTTCACTGCATAGCAAGGTGTACAAGTCGTCGAGGCTAAGAGGTTGCAGGTTCGTACGTATAGCAGTTTTGAAGTACTGATATTGCACCGGAAGCTCGTTAAGAGTGTAGAAGATCACCTCTTCTGGATCTAAGGGAGATCCAGTTGCGGCAATGGCATCGACAATGGATTTGACAGCAAGGAGGTATTGAGGCATAGACTGATTTTTCATAGACAGATGATGAAGTTCATTTCATAGCTGAATGGTGCGGGAGCGGGTGTTGGATTGAAGGCGGCGAGCGATGGTGTCCCAAATTTCAGCACAATGATCAAGTGATAGAACGTAAGGAAGAATGCTAGGTGAGATGACAGAGTAAAGGGCAGCAGAAAGATTATGATCAAGAAGATTCCAGGTTTGAAAAGAGAGTTCATTTTCAGCAGTTAGGTTTTGAGGGTTGGGACAGATGCAAGAACCATCAAGAAATCCTTCAAACCCATTTGCTTTGAAGAGTTTGAAGACTTGAGAACGCCATATAGGAAAGTTTTCGGCGGTAAGAGTGAGGGAGATGATACCTTTGATGTGGCTCATCAAGAACTTAAGCTGTTGGGGAATTTGCTGTGTATCAAATGCGGTGCCAGAGTTTCGCCTGGGTTCGGACGTAGCCGTGGTAGAAGAAGTAGCCATGTCTCCAGAAAAGAAAAGACAAGAAGATGGGAAGCGAGAGCCGGAAAGGATTAGCAGGTATCCTGCTCTGATACCATGAGAGCTTCTATGAAGAAGAAGCCAAGAACGGGAAAGAGAAAAGGACAGAGGAAAATGCACATAGAAGAAAGTAATGTACAGCCTAAATATATAAGCAAAATAGCTAGACTACAATACAATAACCAATATAAGAGATACACGTGTAAAGTAAAAGTAAATGAAGAATATTATGAAGTTGCTTGTCTAACAAATTCTTATTGAAGTCTGTCATGAGAGAAATTGATTCGAATTAAAATATGATTTAAACCTTGTTCAAATTCGAATGATTGCTTGATGACATAGCTCGCTAAATCAAACATTGCGGGACACCGTTGTGTGAAGAGAGTAGTTTTTTGTGATGGGAGCTTATTATGAGCTCTCGATGAAGGGTCTGACAATATGTGATCGAGGAGGATGATTTTATAATGAGAGCTTTGTAAGAACCGTGCTTTGCCGGTTCATTTGAACCGACACTAATTGAAAAGCGAGCGAAGCACCGAACGAAGCCAGCGAGTAGAGCGGGAAAATCATGGACACCGGAGCAGTTGGCGGGATCGAACCTTGAAAAGGTGCAAGGAAACGCATTCGAATGCGAAAAGGCAACGACTCCTTGTGGGAGATAACTTCGATTCGCTCACTCCATTTGAAACACACTAATACAAGAGACTCTGAACATAAAAAAAAAAAGAACAAAGCCTAACCGAGAGAACGAAAGAGAGCAAGGGAGACGAGACTGGAGAGCGAACCATCAAGAGTAAGTTTTTTTGACGGGGAGGAGTGGTATGTGTCTGATCACCTAACATGCGGACATTCAATCCCGACACCCCACCTCACCCGGATGCACTAGGCCCCGATATTTTTGAGTGATGTGGCACTTTTTTATTGGTGTCCGGACGAATCCGGACACCGGACACAATAATTTGCCGTGGGTTAGGGCTCAGAGAAGGGAAAAAGGTAAAGTTTTTCTTTTTTCTAAAATTTAAGTTATATTTTGATTAAAAAATACTTACGTGATAGATTAAATACCTAATTATTAATTATTAAGGTTGAAGAAGTATTTTTTATGAAATATCCTAAAATTAAGATTTTATAGATTATGTTTTTCTTTTCCATTCATTTATGAAATTATATTTATATGTTTAAGGAGAATGAGACAATTTGTTATTAAATTTAAAAATAATAAATTTGGAATTTAGAATTAATGATAATATGTAAATATAAATAGAGCCTATTTAAAGTATATTAGATTTTAATAATGTAATTTATTTTATAATTTAGATATATAAGAATAACATATTTATATGTTAATAATCATTTGTAGAAGTTAATTCAAAATAATTAAAGAAAGGTATTAATGAAATAAATTATAATAATGTTAAAATTTCATTTTTTTTATACATAATAAAATTATTAATTTTAAATTATTAGCAATAAATTTATAAAGCGAAGAGAATCAATTTTATCTTGGATTATGGGAGTTATTAAGAGAAATTAATTAGTTAATTAGAGAGAAAGAGCGATTTTTAATAAATAATATTTAAAATTAAAATTATATTAATTAATTAACAATAACAAGTATAAGAAATTAAGAATAATTTGTTTAATAATTTTTAACGTCTTCATATAGGTGTTAAGCTCGTGTACATGAAATAATAATTAAGGTGAATTGTTTAGGCATCTATTTTTTATGTGAGTATTCATGTTCCTATATTATAGTAATTGTATTACTTCTAATTGCATTTAATTATTATTGCTTCAAATTACATTGTAAATGATTTATCTTTCACATATCAAATGATTAATCATTTCAAATTCAATGATAATTAGCATGTTATATTTTACATAAGGTTAATGAATGATATATGAATGAAATAATTAAGATAGATATACTTGTATGGACATGTTGACTGATGTGATATTAGCTAGAGATGTGATGTACGTGCAAACGTAAATGAAAAATTGATGGAAATTAAAAAGAAAATTGAGGAGTACTTTTATTGATACTATTTGAGATGGTAGCTCATGTGAGTTTTGTATTATAAAGAAAGAATAAATATATGAAATATGTTAATATGATATATTCATATTATAGATGATCATGTTTGGATATGAATCTTAAATAGAATTAAATTATGTTTTTGAAAAGATCCTGCATATTGTTCCTAATACCTTGTATTACAGTAATTTAAAAGTATGATTTACTCACAAAGCTATATTATGACTCATCCTTTTTAATTGAAAAACATTTTCAAGTATAATTTGATTTAATTAATATGAGTAGAAGGTAAGAGAATATGTATTGTAGATATGGCGCACTAGGAGAAAGGTAATTATATTATTTGCTATTTTTAAATTTTGAAGTTTTAATGGCTCTTTCAATTTATTTGAGATAATTTTAGATTAACTGATGATTTAATCACCGCCCGATTGTATATTCCCGTCTTATTAATTCGAGCATTCGAGCCAGGTCATGATAAGGTTACTATAAGCTTACCAATGATATTGACGAAGTATGAAGTGAGAGGATTTTGCAACAAGGATCTTAATGAACATTGGCTTCAACAAGACCAACGTATAAGGAGATATTGATTTCGTGACGGGTGGCAAAGATAATAACAAAACCAATAATATGAGAAGAGGCATGCCATGCCTAACATCCTAATATTGGTGGCCTACAACGAGCTCTTTGGAAAAGACATCGTGTGACCGATGCATGTGAAACAAGGTTTGAACCATTTGAGCTAGGTTTGAATAATAGTATGAATTCAAAGAAGGTTCAACCAAATTCGTTCGCAACATACTTTGATAAGCATTCCATGAATAAAAGAGTGACCAATTTCATCCATATTTCTCCACTTATGTGTGCTATGAATCATGTCAAGTCAAAATTTCCCTATTTGGATTCTTATCATTTTATCACATATACTAAATTTAATTGCATCAAAATAAACAAGATTTTAATGTGTTGAGAAAAAATATTTATATTCAATATCAATATATGCCAAACGAAGAATTGTGCCTTTCAACCACTTAATAGTTATCATTGAGTGACAATTGATTATCTCATAAGCTTTGTTATGATTGTACAATGGATGATCTCCAATGCCACCTTCACAAAAATCAGGATCGATACACCTACAAAATATATTTATATGCTAATATATGCCTATGTAAGTACTACAAAAGTAACTAGCAGGTCCTTGAAGAAATCTTGGCCCGAATAGTCACACTTCTAAGGCTTCATTTGGGATAGCTTTCTTATTGATTCTTAAAGCAACTTTTTAGTATGAAAATTTTAATTTTTGCATTAGAAAACTGCTTTAAGAAGAAATAAAAAAACCATCCCAAACAAAACCTAAATCTTATAAAGAGATTCATCAAGATTTGTTCGAGCCATAAATGTCACTCATCATAAAGAGGCGTTCATCCACAAACATTCCTATTAATGGCAGCCTATAATGAGTTACATCATTTATTATGCTTTACACTTTTTTTTTCTTAAATATAATCTTTCTCACAACCCTCCAAATCCTGAAAATAAATGATGAAAAAGACATGCTCGAGATCTTGAGAATCATTAAAATAAATCTTTTAGATACTTTGAGACTTGAATCTCTTATTTTCTAGTTCTTTTTATATTATTCTCTCACACGATCTCCAGCATTCTCTCTACTAAAAAAGAATCAAATAATATTTAAAAAAGGTGATTTTTTAACAACAATACAAAACTTTTTCTTACCATCATAATCCCAGTATAACCTTTATAGCTTCACATGATCCCCCTTGCAGATTTCACAGCCCACCAAATTTTTAGCAATACAGCAAGCCATGAACGAGGTAAGGTTTGAGGAAAGCAAGACATTCTAAAAGCATTCTTCTACAATCCATATTCACATTCACAAAGCTTCAGGATCATGAGGTGCGTTCAAAATCTCGTTGAAATTACTGTGCTTTCAGATTGTTGTGCAAACAACACAAAGCATGCTGTACAGGAAAATGAATCGCTCAATATATAAATAACTGCTAGCCAGACCATCACCCCCTCATAACAAAATTCCGTAGACCAAATAAAAAGATAAGTGTGCAAAAATACCCAATCTCCTGGCATGATTACCTGGGGAATTAAATAAAGGAGAGTCAGCATTTTTTTTTTGTGTGCAACAGACTGTGTATGCATATGAAGAACAATGAAATGACTATAAAATTGCATATTTATACTCAAAACAGACGAGCAGTTTTCAAGATAGGCACCATTGTAATCTACTATCCTTCGACCATCTCCAACCGAAAATCTGATTTTTCACTTCAAAATGCCGTGAAACTAAAAAATATGCTGTGATTCATCAAATCGAACTCCAATTTTGCGAAGGTAATGTTCTTTCTTCTTTTCACGCGTTTCTACGGCAAGTTAGGTAGAGACAGAAAAATAACGGAGCAAATAACGGAAGTTTTACCGTTCCGCTAGAGCTCTGCAGCAACGACATTCAAGTGTTTGGAGTTCGGTTGGAGATGCTCTTACATTCAGCTGATGCAACTCTAAGAAAATAACATTGACCAATAAAAAAACATTCGATCCCATTGCCCGCATCATGATAAGGCAAAACTGATCGCCTGCAATCTGATCTGAACATAAGTTGGATCCTAGCTTCAAATTGACTTTGATTGAACAGGATCAACAATGCTCGACCCAATAAGATGGTCTATCCTGAAAAGAAAAAGGGGCCAGGAATGGTTGATGGGGCTTGACTAGCTGTGGTGCTGCCACTGCTAACGATGTAATGCACTGCCCACTCATGCTGACACAAGCCAGTTGAATGAACAAAAATAAAGAAATTCCTTTTAGGATCTCGAAAAATTCCAATAAAGTATGAAATATCTTTTCCCTTGCCATCCTCTAATAAAAATTTTCTGATGCGCCATGATAGTTATGCTCTCACTCTAATCTCCCATTTTTTCCTTTACAAAGAGACTGAAAACCGTCCTTTAAAAAACTAAATTAGAGGTGTAAACGAGTCGAGCAGTGCAATCATTAAGCTGAGCTTGTTTAGCTCACACTGTCGTTTAATAAGCTCGAACTGGACTCACTGTATAAAAATCAAACTCGAGCTCATTTAAAAAGCTCGAGCTCAGCTCGATTGAAAAGCTTAAACTAGACTCGTTTATGAAGCTTGAATTTTTGTTATCTTATAAAATTCTTAAGAAAATGGTATATTACAAATTTTTAAATATATGTTTTAAAATCAAATAGCTCGACAAGCTAATAAGCCGAGTCGTACTAAGCTCGAACTCAAGCTTGATCCCATTTCGTGAACGAGATTGATTACAGGCTTAAGCTCGACTCGCGGACTCTTTAGCGAGTTGAGTTCGAGCCTGCTTGGCACACTTACACCCGTAGGCCCGACTATGAACAAACAATAGGCTCGTAATCACTAACTCTAGGTGCAATACTGTAAAAAAGGGATTGCTCACCCTAAATAGGATGGATTTAGACTGAGAAAATAAGGTATTGGTCCTGCTTGATAGCCCTATTTTGTTGGCCTTAGTTTCAGGAAAGAGTTGCTGATCCTGAGGTGGCATCACACCCAATGTGGTGTAGAGATGAAGAAGAATGAATGGTCAAAAAGAAAATCGGGAATCCAACAATAAAATAAGATTTTGTCAGTTTTGAGTGTTTCAACGCTGTTTTTATTGATTTCTTTGATGTTGATATCTTTTGACCAAATTTTACTGTAAGTTAAGCTTAAGTCCTCCAAAAGTTTCTTGATGTAAAATACTATGGATGAATTTTGGTAGATTTTCTATTTTAGGATTTTTTACTGAAATCCAAAAATTCAAAAAAAATTTCTGCAATATCATTGGGGAAACTTTTTCGCTTCCAAAACATTTCTTGCCAAAATTACCTTATTTGGTTAGGGGGAAAATATCTCAAACCAAGACTTCAGAAAATCGATATTTCATTGTTTAGCGTAACAAAAATTGCCACTTTTTTTGGAACACTCTGTATTTTGTAGAATTGCTCATAAAAAATTCTTGAAATAATTATAACACAAAAAATTATGATTTTTCTCTTCGAATCTTTTCCTAAAACAATTCCGACAGCATCATTGTTTCCAAAGAAAATTTCAATGGACGGCCAAATAATCCAGTTTCTAACGTGTTTAGCTTCATCGAAGAAAGAACATCCTGTCTGATTCCATGGGCCTTTTAGGATTTGTGTTTTTCGACTTTTCACAATTATTTCAAAGTCATGATGAAATCAACATGATGACAACTCAAGTGAAGGGAAAGGCATATTCAGATTGAAGTGCAAAACCATCTCAAGCTTTTTCCTTGCCGGAAATTTCTTGATCTAAATTTAAGCATACTTTATTGTATATCTTATAGAAAAAATTATTAAAAGGAGGCATGCAAAATGGCAATGGTTGACGGTGTGGTGCTTATTATCACCACTAATGCTCTAGCAATAGATTGCTAGAAGATCTACTCCGATAAATTGGTGATATACCAAATCAGCATTCAGAGCAGTAGTCGAGACTTTCTAAAGGCTATCACAAAATCAAACTATGTTCAAGAGACCCATGGCATGATATTTGATATCATTGTCAAATAGTTGGAGGGATAAAATCTTGATGAAGGATTCATCTGAAGCCTCCAAAAGAAATTGTGACTAGTGTAGCACAATATTGGGGCTTATATTGAAGGTCCAATCATAGTTTAAAATTGCGCAATAAGAGGCGCGCCTCTGCGCAATTTGGATCAAAGACGCCTTGAGGCCTAAGCAATTTGGACCAAAGACGCCTTGAAGCCTGAAGCAGAGTGAGGAGCGCCTCAATTGCGCTATTGCGCAATTTTGCATGAGGCATGCGCCTCATAGAAAGGATCCCACTCACTTTAAATAAATATGAAAATTGCCTCTCCCTTCTACCGGTCCAAGCAAAACCGCAAGCATCCCGAACCCGATCCCTCCCGAAGCCCGATCTCCAGCATGTCTCCGGCGCCTCTCCCGCCGGCGTCGCCGCTCGCCGGTGAGCCCTTTATTTCCGGTCGCTCCTCTATAAAGGGAAGAAATCGGTTTTCAACACTCAAAATGAACTCCCCTGTGTATATTATGCACAACAAGAGGTTGAAAGATAGAAGGTTGAGGAACAAGGGGTAAAGGATGATGAGGACTCATTGGTGTGTCATCTAATAATGAGTGGTTTATAGATGATGAAACAGATTTTCCATTATCAGACCTGCAGCTAGAGGATCTAAGTGTGGATGCCTTGAGGGGCCAGGCAGATCAAGTGGGCACATCCACTAGTTCTGCAGCACAACAACCAAATAAAGGTATTCCACAACTTCTTATATGCTATTGCATTATATATATATTAAGTGAGCAATTAACATGATAATGATCATTCTTATTGAACAGGAAAGAGAAAAGTGAGTCACATTGAAAATGATGAAGATATGACATTTATAGATACAATTGGAGAAGAAGATTCCATTGAAGACCCATTTAGTGATGGGATATGATTGAATTTTATATGTTCTTTCTTAATTGTACTTTGGGAGTTTTGATAGACTAATATTTTGTGGTTTTGTACTTTGGGACATGATTTTATTGCATTTTTTTTCTTATTTTACACTAATTTCACATGTCATTTAGATGTTTTTGTTGTATGATAGAATATTGCTATTATTTACCTGCTAAAACCCTTAAATTCTCATTTACGCAATTCTGCGTCCGTGAGGTTTACGCCCACACCGCCTCGAGACTTACGCCTCGTCTCATGGACGAAAAACGCCTCGAGGCTTACTTATGCAATTTAAACCTTGGGTCCAATAACATGTTGGACTATAAGGACCTATGAAGCATGAACACTTCAAAAAGCCTCATCTCTATGCCAAGTATGAACGCACCTCGAGGCACCCCGCTCTATTTGACACGTTGAAAAATCATGTCAAGTATATGTTTCCTGAAATTAGAGTTGGGCAAGGTTGGGACACCATAATTGATTAGTGTTTTTTTTTTCTAAGCCAATTTAACAAAGTATATTTTCCATAGATTATGGCGAAGGTTCTATTGAAGAGGCCATTGGTAATAATGATGATGATGATGATGATTGTGATGTGAGCATGATGCATAAATTAATGGTACATCAATGAGTTCACTTCTTTTTTGGGATATTTTAAAGATTACATATTTTTATTTCAGTATTTTTTATGGGCAATAGATTATTGATATTGGCAAAGTTCTATCAAATGATCAATGCCAATGTTGGTGTGTCATTAACATTTAAGGAAAAATTACAAAAGTTTGAAGGTATTAGAAAATATGCCCCAAAAGAGTTGATTCAATCAACATTGAATTATTGTGCGTTTTTGTTGTCTTCGCACTATCTCATTGGAATTGTTGCCCTGCCATCACGACCTACCAAGATAGCTATAATACCATCAACACCCGATCTGGTGCCTCTAGCTATCATTGCTCCTCGCCATCTTGAATTTGTCATCTATCATTGATTTGCCCTCATAGGCCCTCATTTGTATCTCACCCTATCATCATCTCACCTTATTGCAGCATGCTATCGTCCAATCCAACACACCTTATGACCATTAATTATAATCACTAATCATTTTTTTTCTTTTTGGCAAATAATGTATTCCGAATGCATTCAACTAAAACAAAATGAATCATCTCAATGGATTTCTATTACACCCAATTAAAAAATTCAAGTATAGGTATTTGTTGTACATCAAATTATAAAAATACATATATTTTAAATACATGCTACCAAACAACCCATTAAGTCCTTCAAATGCCTTTAAGAAGGATATATAATGAAGCATAGGTAATTCTAAATGTAAAATGGTCTGTGTAGGATGCAAACTCAGCTCCAACCTATCCCAACACATATATGGCATTTTCAAAATTGTTTAAGTCTTTTCAAAATGAATTAATGTCCAACATGGGCCAAAGAGGAGCTAAAAACAGGCATGCGATTGCACAACAAGACAAGAATGTGGAATAGAAAAAATTGAATAAGACGCCTCGGGCACACAGTGAAATAGTGTTCTGCCAGTCCTCACCCCATGATGTCAAAGTCTCCTGGTGCATGCCCTCAAGATCTCTCTGCATCTTCTTTCACGATCGAGACATAGTGAGTAGGTATCAACTTCAATAAATGCTAAAGCCTTCAATTCAAGTATTTTTTTATTGTCACCTACACCTCCCCTTTGAGGAGTCATTGACAAAGATCCAAACATCACAATTTTCGGGGCTTCATTCATTGGTCACTAACTTCACAAGTGAATCAATGTATTCTATTGGCATACGTTAACCTCCTCTTTGCTAGCTAGCCAAATTTTGTCGTTTTATTGTACCTCTACTTGTTGGTTTATATCTCAATGATCATGCTCTATGATAGTTATGTAATGGGATAACTTTAGAAGATTGATGTGCTTGAAACCTTAGACTACCTTCTTAAATAGGCCCCCGACTATTGTACCATATGATTTGAATTGTTCAGTAAGATGTTAATCATACAATACAATCAGAAAAAATTCAATTGGTTTAGGCCGATCAGTTCAAAAAGGTTATCAAATTGTACAATATAATCAGTATCATACTAGACGTTCTTCGACTTTTCCATTCGTCCCTAGGGATTAGTGGTTCAAATGTTGACCAAATATATCATCTCTGATGTAGACAAACAGGGGTCAACTCATGTCCAAAATAAATCAATTTTGGCCTCCCTCGAGTTTACAAGCTCAATCAAATTGAGCTGAAATTTTAGCTCATTTATGAGCTGGTCTTTAATTCATTTATTGAACTAAGGGTTAGCTCATTATTAGCTAAAATTTTAGTTTATATTTATCTTTTATTAAATGTTATAGTTTTTATTATTATATGTTTCTAATTATGTTAGTCTCTTGGAATTCCAAGATGTTGTTTCGTTTTCCAATTTGGTGGTTCTTTGGATTTCACCATGGTTTTGTTTTTTGTGCCTTTGCCCCTTGGAATTTCGGCCGACTGCTGGTTTTCCGAGCCTGGGATGTTTCCCGTGGTTGTGGCGCCTTGGTTCCGTGTGGCCTCCTTGTCTCCCGCGGCTGTTGCTTCGATTCCTGGGTTTGGGCTGTTTTCCGTGATGCATGGGGGGGGGGGGATTTTCGTGCTCATGGTGCTTAGGTTCTTGTGTAAATTAATGTTATGTGTCTTTTGATATTCCCTTTCATACCTATTATATGGGGATTTGTAATGTTTTGAATAGTTGAATGTTATGTGATTTTGGAATCTAACCTGCGGGTTATTGGAAAAGCTTGCGAGCTTTGTTCGTCTTCTTTCTCATCCCCTCCGGAAATCTTGCGAGCTCTTTCCAACCTTTCGTCTCGGCTTCTAATCTCTTTCGTCTCTCTGCAAGTGCCACTCCATCTGTATCTTTCGTCTCTAAGTCAAGAAACTTTAGGGTGTCTTTGATTTTCGATTCGAATTTGTTAGATCGTCATTTGTAGTCTTATTTGTAGTTTAATTTGAAATGTAAGAGTTTGTTCTTCCTCATCTTAGTCTTCGTGTTTCGTAATTTCGTGGGTCGTCGGGTTCAAGGCTCGGATCTTTCGTGTGGGAGAGGGGTATAGGCTCCCTATATTTCTTGCCCCCACCAATTTGGTATCAGAGCAAGTTAGGAAGTCCTAGGTTTGTGAGTTTGTCAAGTTTTGTCGAGTCAAATCTTGTTGTGAGTCTTGAGTCGTAAAAGAATTGTGAGTCTAAGTTTAGGTTGAGTCTTTTGAGTCTTTCTTTGAGTCTTTTTTTTTTTAGTCTTGTTTGAGTCAAAAAAAAAATGAAAAAAGACAGAAGAAAGCAAATCTGAAGAAATTGAAGATCCTATGGATAGGTGGATTCCATCAAAGTCAGCAAATCCTCTGGAGTATGAACTATACAAACTTCAATCATGGATGCACATACGTACAGAAAGGTACTTCAAGAAAAAGCAGCGTTTACAAGATAAATTTCTGAAGGAATGAGATGAGATCATGCAGAAATATGAAGACCAGATCAAAGAGCTGGATGCTCCGTCTCCACCTCCTCAAGAGAATCAAAAGCTAACTCATCGAGAGATGAGTTCTTCAAGAAGGGGAGAATCTGATGTAGACAAAGGGGGTCAACTCATGTCCAAAATAAATTAATTTTGGCCTCCCTCGAGTTTACAAGCTCAATCAAATTGAGCTGAAATTTTAGCTCATTTATGAGTTGCTCTTGAATTATAAATCGATGAATATTGCCAATCGATTTTATGTCGTTAAATGAATATGTAAATCTTAGTACTTTTAAAAGCTAGACCATTGTCTGAGATTATGCGGCGTGGTACATCAAATTTGTAGAAAATATTATGAGTAAAGAAGTTGATCACATAATTAGTAGTGATTTCTTTAAAAGGATATAATTCAATCCATTTAGAAAAATAGCTGTTGCTACTAATATAAACGGTGTCCAACAGATGATGGTGGATCAACAGCAAAATATTGTTTATGGATATCAAAGACTATATATAGATTTGTGAACTTCAATCGACTATAGTTTTTCAATCGACTAAGATGGTGGCTCGGCTTGCTCGACGTAGGGCGTTGGAAGAGGCAGTCGGTTGTGCGGCTTCGGCTTCCAGCTTGGACAAGTTGAGGAAAGTGGTCTTCGCCCGGAGCTTCCTAGGGCATACAAACAGAAAGCGAGAGAGATGGTAAGTCCCCCAATTTCCTTTTTTCTGTTTCTGTGTGTATCTCTTTAGATGCCCGTGCCTTCAGTTTTTTGTAAGGAGCGAACGTGGGGAGCAGTTGCCAAAACATGGGATCGTAGGAGTTGTCGAGGTGGGCAGTGGGAGCCGGTTATGTAGCAATTAGAGGTCAACAATAAGCTCTATTTGTGACTAGAAGAATATTTCTAATCCCTAGGCAAAGGATTCTCTGGTTATTCTCTGTTTCTTAAGTTTATACTTTCCACTCCACGAATAAATACAACCTCACCATCATCTATCCTCGGCTCAACTAATCTATTTGACTCATCAAATACCATATGAATGGATTCCTCTAAAACTAAGGTTCTTTTATTGAAAGACCATATAAGCTTTACCTACTGAAGAATAATCTAAGAAAACTCCATCTGCCTTAGATCAAACTTTCCATTTTTCCTGTCACCTGCATCTAAAAATTTTTGGCTCACATTTTGCTCATAAGCAATGAGAAAGCCAATAAGTTATCAATAAAAGCCAATAAGTTATCAATAGAATATACATTTAAATCTTTTGATTTAGAAATAGCAGTGACTTCGGCATCAAAAGGATCAGGTAGGCAACACAATATTCTTTACTTTTCCAAAATTTGAATTTACTTGTTATGCAAATCTAAGCCCTCTATATTCTAAACATTTTTCCAATGTTCAAATTTTCTACTTGTTTTAACAGATGGAAGCAAATTTTCCATCGATTTCAACTATATCAATTATCAACTACTAAATATCACACTAAAACATCTGCAAAAAAAGCTTTTAGACTTTGTATTTCAAACCAAGATATATAAGGGGGAGCATTTGCATGAAATGCATACCTAAGTTGCCAGAGGTTGGTGACACGGGCAGTGCAGGCAAAGACATCTCTGCAAAAATGCATATGCCACGACAATACATCATTCCAATTGCTTAACAGAGTCAACATCCCAAGCGATGCATACATCTTTAAGGGGTTGCACACTTGTCAATGAATTATATTTTTAGAGATCAACTTACCCGGTGCACAAAAAGACATGGATGAAAAGGAAGACGATGAAGGCCATGGAGCAGCAATGTTATCACTCAAGTCACAGGTGAAACTAACCCCAGTGGTGTTGTCAAATATAACATCTGCTGGTAAACTCCGAAGTAGACACCCTAGACATCGATCATATATGTATGAGATGACTGCATATTCGTATACTATGAATGAAAGATTCAGACAACTTTGTACAAAAAACAAAAGGAAATGCACCACACACCTTGTTGTCCATAGGCTTCCCAATACAAAAAGACAATAAAAACAGCCAATTAGTCGTTTAAACGATAAAAATAAAATACATAAGATAACCAGACAGAACAAGTCAGCAGATAACAACATACCTTGAAGGCTAAAGTCCTTTAAGTCAACATCACAAAGCTCGTAAATGTTTGTCATAACACCACCTTTTTGCAACATGGATCCAAAAAACGCCGCACAATTGATGGCCTGTTTATTTGTTATAAGCATTTGCTTTTGGAGGGTTCCGATATAAGTATTTAATGAAGCACAGCAAGTTGGATTTGGCGATGCCAAATCACTGCATTGCTTAATTACATTTGAGGGCTCTTGAAACTTCAATGGGCAATCTGCAGAATAGAAGATACATGATCAGACATAAACAGTGAAAAGCTACCCACCCAAATGAAGAAAGCAGAAAAATTCATACTCTAACATTGCATTCATAGTTTACTCAAGCAAATGGTAATCAAATCACATGTAGATAATCCAGATATAATATCATTTTGGCCATTTGAGCTAGATCACAAAGATATTTGCATATTAAAGGAAACAACTGGATCAAGTAATCAAAGCAAGTGTAAAAAATCACAAATTCACTCCTAGAAAAATGATCATAACAAATTATGATGGCACTTACTTGAGACCTAGACAGTTTTCATGAAACAAGAACATAATATGTACATGTGCTGGATATGGCACACTTAAACTGATTAGAATAACAACAGATCCAGAACCATCCTTCCATCCAATATGGTTGAACATGATTTGCTTGTTCACTCATCTTTGAATCCAATTGTATATAGTCAAGAAGATCATCCCATTCATCTCATCAGTTCTCGGACCAATATAACACTAATGTGCAATGAAGCTTATTGTGGGCTCTGAAAAGCTCAAAGTAGGGTTTGGACAAATAGATGAATTTCTCAAGAGGTAAATAATAAGAGTAAATAAGCATTCTTCAAGGTTTCACCCTCATTAAAAGATTTACATTCTTAGGATTTATATGTTTTTGGCTAGAGGCTTCTCATGGGTTCAACCCCTAATGATTAATTACCTCCCCATCATAGGAAAACTCTCAATCAAAGGTGTTATAAGATACTATTTAACTTCCACAAATGGTGTTCCAACCTCTTATAGTAAATTGTTTCATGCTTAAGGGGAAGCAATGATGGTGGGAAAACCCGTCGAGGTCCAATGGTTCTGTCATCCATAGGTTTTATCGCCTAGTTCTCAAACAAAGGAGAGAGGGAAATTGCATCAAGTATTGGCCTTTTGCCTTCGATACTTTGTCTGAGTATCGTGTTCCTCATACAAAGCCATAGGTTCCTCATTCGAGGAGTCCCCAAAAAATTCGAGAATGCAAAATATGACAAAGGGTTCAATTTTGAGACATATATTGGCTTAAGGTTTTTTGCTAGCACATGAAACAAGTAGCTCAAAGGCTTTGCAATACAACGTTTGAGATGGCTCAGAGGCTAAAAGCATGATTGACTTGACCGTATTGATAAAGCATGCTTTTTTAGTGAACCTTATGTTTATTTTTCCTTTGATACCCTTAACATGTTCTATATGGATGGGAAATTTTGGTTTTAATTCATAGAAGGGAGAAACCATTGTTATCTTATTCTTTTATTTTACTTTAGTTATTTTTCATATTTTTTATCCCACAAGTGAGCTTGGGATCTAACTTGGCATTCTTTCGATTAGGTATGGCTTTTCCCTCTCCTCCGTCCCGGGGCGTGGTCTGTCTCATCTAAAGTAAATCAAATTCGTTCATCCAACCAATAGTGGACTTTTGAGAATGGGATCCCGTACTAAAAAGAGAAAAGAATTCTATTCGATCCTTCAATAAGGTCGACAAGAAGCACTACTACTACTTGCTTGGATTTCCATCCATTCAACTTCCATTGAATGTAATCTGGTCTTTATGACCATCTTAATATGCACTAACTTAGCATGCCTGTTGAAGCAGATTAATGACATTAGAGTTTTGAAATTGGATGTTGATCGGGGACTATTGTGTTCCCCATAGGGGTATAAGTGAGCCGAGCCGGCTCGTGAGCTCGAGCTCGACTAATTTATAGGCTCGCAAGCCGAGCTTATCGAGCTCGAGCTCGAACTCAAGCTCAGTTAGTAAACAAGCTCAAGTTCAAGAATAGGCTGGAGTTTGAACTCGATGAGTCTCGGCTCGTGAGCTTGCAAGCCAGCTTGAATTACTGTTTGAATTTTTTTTTGAATGTTTTTGTTACATTTAGAAGTTTTTAAAAAAATTAAATTCAAATCTTCAACAACCACATAATTAATAAAAAAGTCTCAAATATCAATGCTAATAAATGTTGCAACTTTACTTATTATTAAACAATGAATTTTCAAATAAATGTTGTGTCTATGCTTTCATTTCAAAGCTTTACTTATTATTAAACAATGAAAATTTCAATACGAATAATATTGCAAGGCATGGAAGCTGTGCGAAAATCAGACGGGAAAATCGTGCTGGAAAACTAAAATAGGCGGGTGTGAAACCAACGCATGCAGGAAATCGAGCGGCTCGATCAGCCTAGCACAGTAACATGAATCGAGCTCGACTCGAGCTTGCTTTCCGACTGACGAGCTGAGCTTGATAGTGCCAAAATTCAACTCGACTCGTTTACATCCCTAGTTCCACAAAATTATCAGGACACCTTTAGGGAACACCTAAGCACATTCTCGAAAGCGGGTGGTAGCTGTTGAAGCTTCGGCATATTTTTCAATGCAAAACATGGAGGAAACTCCATGTGTAGATATAAGTTGTAAGCTCTATTGGGGATAAATTAGATTTACTTTTGTTGCTCTAATTCATTATGGACAATCCAAGGTCATATTTTTTAACAAAATTGTCACATCCAAGTTGTTATCGTGTTGGCATACAAATTGATACAACACACTTGAATCAATTCAGGATAGTACTTAAATCCATTGTAGGCAAATATACCACCTCAAATTGTTAGATCAACTAAGGGCAACCGAAAATCTCAATTTGCATCACCTAATCAAATGTGTATATATAATATATAGTCATAGGGACAAAGAACCTTCATGAGATTTTCTATTATTTTCTTAAACATTGACTAATCAACACACACAACTTCTTTACATATCCTAGGTCCCTACTTATAATCACAAGGTTAAAAAAACACCATGAAGGGTTGACCCGCCAATATCAGAAGAGAAATCCAAGGGCAGCATTACAACATAACAGTCCTAGCAACAACAGAAGTTGCAAAGGCAACTAGAAAGCCACCGACAGAAGAAACAACAAAATCCTCAAACAGAAGCACAGCTAGAGATGCTAAAATTTCACCACTCCTTCAGGAATCAAAATAGAAGCACACTACAATCTGCTTCCTCGGGAATCACAAGATACAGTCCTAAAAGAACAAAAAAAAGAAATTGCAAGAGGAGGCATATGTGAAGGAAGCACAGGAGCTTCCACCAACATCACAAATGTACATATCAAAGAAATAAAAATATTAAAGAAAGGGAACTTTATTTTTCTTTCGTTCACAGTCAAGCAATGCAAGCATTGATACTCATGTACTTAGTATTCTAATAGACATAATTGTTAAATTTTTGAAAATTCACTTTTCCTCAAATTTTGTTTTCTGGTATACATTATAGGCATCACAAATTGAATCAGTGCAACAAGAAAAAAAAATTGTAATTATCAAAAGATTCTGGCACAAAAGAAAATAAGCTATCATGCCCTTGCATGCAATTATGACAAAATGATCCTTTATGAAAAGATCAGTGTACTTACTTTTGTTGACCCTGCAACTAGAAAGCATCCTAAATGCTGTGTTGGCAGCTTCTAATGGCAGCTTTCTAGAAAGCCAAGCATACACAACCTCCTTGCAGTCGTTGACAACATCAACACTAGTAGCACTCCCAGGAATAGCAGAATTTTTGGGATTAGTGTTCCTACTTTGTGAGATGGCAAATGCAGCTTGCATGATTGCAGGTTGACAAGCTGGCCTACAGCATTCTGTAAGTGGATCAATGGTATTGCATGCATCTATTAACTTGCTTGAATTGACCACTTTTTCAAATGACTTAATATCCTTTACAGGACAAGAGCCATCAGTGAGATTTGATGGCTTTACTGAGCAAAGCTCAGGTATTGTACTGTTTGCTCCTCTGCTTGTCAATATACTAATGATATCTGAAAAGCAATCATCAGCTTCAGTTTGGTGTAGCACAAGCATATCAGTCTCACTGCTGTAAGCGCCTTGGAAAATGTGCAAAAGACTATGCACCTGCGGACAGCAAATAACATTCCCAACTAGTGCTGCTAAAGGTGCAGAACAATCAGATGCAGTCTTGTCCACAATATTTAAAATAGATGAGAAGTTAACAGGGCACTTTCCAGTTAAGACAGGTTCATACGTTCTAGGAAAGGAAGGATACATTGGTGATAGGGGTTCAACAGGATATGGATTTCTTGGAACTACAGAAGGTGAAATTTCAATAGGGCCAAAAAGACCAATTGGAGGATCAGACAAAACAAACTTATCAGGAACATGTGATCTAGGTTGAAGTACAGTTTTCTGAGATTCTGCTTCTTGGAAACCACAAAACAAAAATATAGAAATCAGAAAATAATTGTATAGAGAACCTGCAAAAGAAAAAAGAAACAGTATCAGTATTTGTAACTAAATAAAAAAAGCAGAAAGTAGAGCAACCAATACAACAGCAAACAAATATATGATTAATAGGTTTTCTTACAAAATCTAGGAATACCAAGTAAAACCATGTTTACGCTCTATCACATTGTGTATAGACATAAAACATCACCAAGACCAGAAAAACCATTGATCATACTATAAGTATTGCTACAACAACAACATCAAGCCTTTATCACACCATGTGGTGTCGGCTACATGAATCTTTTTTCTTCAATATATTCTATTAAGAGTCAAATTCTCATTTTAATCTAATAAAAAATATCATTTTAAATACTTTCTAACCCAGTCTTTTTTAGGTCTATCTCTACCTTTCTTAACATATGCTAGATCTAATACATCAACTCTCCTAACTAGCACATCGTAAGGCCAATGTTTTATGTGACTAAACCATCTAAGATGATTCTCTATAATCTTATATTCCAATGAAGCTACTCCAACCTTTTCCCGTATATACTCATTTTGCATTTTGTCTCTAAGCGTAAAAACACTCATCCACCTAAGCATCCTCATATATGCAACACTTAATATTATGCTTCTCTTTTCATGACCAACATTCTACGTCATAAAGCATTGCAAGTCTCAACATGATCTTATAAAATTTTCCCTAAAGTTTGAGGGTACTTTTCTATCACAAAATAGGTCTGATGCATTCCTCTACTTCAACCAACCAACTTGAATTCTACTAATAATATCCCATCTATTTCACCATCACTTTGAACAATTAACCACATATAAATAAAACATGTACTATTTTAATGACTTTATTGCCCAAAGTCACAATCCTCCCACTAGATCAATTACTATTAAAATTACACTCAATATTTTTGGTTTTAGATCTACTCAAACGAAAACCTTTAAACTTCAAGGTTAATTTCCATAATTCAAGTTCTTCTTCAACTCCCTCTCTAATCTTGTCAACAAGAAGAATATCATTAGCAAAAAGCATACACCAAGGTACAAATGTCTAATAAGAACATCCATAACTAAAGTATTATTCAAAGTTCAAACAACAAAAACAACAACAACAACAAGCATTTATCCCACTATGTGAGGTTGGCTACATGAATCTTTTTTCTCTATTGTGCCACGTTAAGAGTCAAATTCTCAATTAAATCTAATAAAGAAAGGTCATTTCTAATATTTTCTAACCAAGTCAAACAAAGTTATTTAGTATGAAATATATTATACCCATACTAATATCAATGCCAAGTAAACCACTGGTTAAATGAGGAAAGTTGGCATAAAAATAGGTAATTGGGATACGAAAGAGTGAAGGGCAGAATCCTCAAATCTTTTTCATTTACTCACCCTGCATAATAGGAAGATGCTCCATATCCTTTAACCCATAGAACACATTGGTACCCAATGTATGAAGTGCTCCAAGTAATTCAGGTGGTTGCAAAAGAATTGGATGCAGTTGGACACAAAAGCACCCGTATTGAAGATCTGAAATTGAAAAGAAGAATGTGAAGGTAACCTTCAAAAGGAAAGGGCTCATGCAGGCCACAGGAAAGTGATACTTGAAAAACTTATGCACCAATATGTAGGATTTTTAAATTTACTATTAAGTAAACCGTGTAAAAAGCTCTTAGTACCGTCCAGTATGATGATACTCTTTAGCTGAAAGGAAACTCTTAATTATTCAACCAAAACAGCCTTTACCTTCCTTCAGAAACATTAAAATGTAAAGCAAAAGTAGGTCATATTTTAATCAATAACATTGCATACAACACTAAAAAACAATTATAACACATTGAGCCCATCATAGCGTTGAAATGAACTGACATATCAGACAAAACATGTGAAATTCATATTCATTCATAGATAATTGCAAGGACTTGCAGATAGAGACATAAATGAGAAAACGGAACGCTACAAAAAAACTAGTAGTAAACAGCAAAAAAAGAAAACAGAATTTCTCTCTTCCTATTTCCATAAAGATCAATCCACATTCTTCTTTCAGAATAAATTATACTCCTGCAGTAAAAGCCAACAAAATGAAATGCACAAAGAAAACACAAAATCAACTCTAATCTTCCTCATCAAAAAAATCAGTACAGGATCAGAACTTGCAGATCATGCATAATATTACAACATCAACTCTTATAGGCCTTCCCTCGTCTTGCTGAAGAAAGGCAAACTATACCCAGTCCCGCTAACTCAAATATATGCCTATTATGTTATGAAATGCCAAAAGCCTTCTTATCTTCCATAAAAATGCCTCCTGATTTGATTTTTCTCTGCTTTGGCAATGTCATAACTTAGGCGAAGTATTAGGAGACAGACAAAACAGAAGTAACAAGGCACAAAAGAAAAACAGCAAATCCATTTACAAGTAAATGAAAAGTATACTCAGGCACAAGCCAAAAGCCCAACTCTTACCAATGTAATGCAACATGGAGAATGAAATACAAATTGCCAAATGGCTGAAATCTATACAACAAAAGAAAATCAAAACACCTAAATACTCTAATCATTTAAAATAGCATCACTACCAAAGAACAAAATGCTTCACTTTTCCACTGCATTACAGCAGAAAAAACTCCAAGCTCATTTAGACAAGGAATACGATAATTTATCCACTAATTTCAAGTGTTCCCGCAACAAGAGCATCAAAGGTATACCTCCTTTACCGATGTTCCCAGCGGATCAAACCCGCCGCCCGTGAAGGACAGAATCGCCTCGTCGATTCCTATACCCTCCTTTTCCCCTTCTCCTTTACCCTTTTTTTCAGCTGCACCTTTTCTCTCTCACACACTCTCTCTCTCTCTCTCTTCCTTCACTCTGCTCTGTATCACTTTATGCGCCCGGCACCACGTTGTATATCTGCGGACTCGAGGCCGGAATTTATTTCGGCTCTCAAAATGATGATTGCCGATTACGAAATTACCAAATTATCCTCGAGACCGCTTGCTGGCTATGTATAAGTAGATCTAGGGTGGATGGTCTGCCGTTGGATGACAAATGTATGCGCATCGAAGGGTCGGGCTTAGTTTCAGATGGTAGGAGTAGGCCAGTGTGGATGCGGACTGGCTTGGACGGCTTGGGATGTTGAGAGAATGATGATGAAGTTGATGTGAAGTCATTATACTTGAATTGAAGTTTATTTGTTTTTTTAATTATTATTTTAAATTTCAAGGAACTTTAATTAATAGTTAAAATTTTGAACCAACAAATCAATATGTGTTAACTTATTCGATTCAATTAAACATTATTATAAATATATTTTTAAATAATTTTATAGATTTTTTTGAATTCTTAATTTTATTTTTTGTTTAACATTTAATGTTATTTTTGAACTCGATATCAAAATATTAATTAGGATCTATTATATAAGAATTTTATGGATTAAATATTATTAATTTCTATGATGATTAAACTATTCATCAAATATAGGAAAATAAATATTTTTACACTTTAAATTATAATTATCTCATTATGAAATATGAATTATCCTTAATAAGCATTTTGATGCAGTTGATTGATGATTTAAAGATATGAAATATAATATTAAAGATTATGTTACACATATTAAATGATTTTGATTGATTTGAAGAAGAAGTCATTAAATTTTAACATAAAACTTACTTATTGTTTTGTGCAGAAATTTCTCAAAAAAAGAGTCAAATGTAAAGAAATTTGAAAAGGCATTGCAATGCCCCACAGCTTAGCCAACACAATGCTCTGGTAATAAGTGGAAAAATTGTATACTCCAAATTGCATTTATTTGTTATAAAGTGCTAGCAAAATCTATCTTTTGATGTATGAAATATGTTAAAATTTATTAACTTTGACTCAGCAGTGTAGCGCCATAAATCCAATGCCACAGTGCTACAACTTTCCCCAGCATCACAGCGCAAGTAGTTCGGCGATGCAGCTGAGAGGTCTGAGAAGATTGCTGAAGATCTTAGCACTGAGGCACTATCCAAGGAGTCTCGTAGTGCCAAATCACCCTAACACCGTAGTAGTAAACAGTTGGAGACTGTTGAAGTAGGAATCAATACAATGAGTGGTAAACAAACACAACAATTCAGTAATGTCGCAACTCCACCAAACCAGCTCCATGGCCCAAGTTTAGTTAATTTGCAATTAAAAAAAAAAACTTGGAGAGATGTGTGTGTGTGTGAGTGAGAGGATATTTCTGGAGGTGGATAGCTCTTTTGTGCTTATGTGTGAATCTTGTACAATTGTGGACTAAGAGGAGTGCAAAAGGAGTTTATACTGCTTATCTGAGTCTTTTTATCATTATTCTCTAGTCTATACTTTAATTTATTTAATGAAATGAAATTTTTTGTTCTTTTTAATTATATTTTCATGTGTGTCTAAACTCTTTTATTTGAATCTATGATAATTTAAGAACTATGTATTGTATATAATCTATATGTTACTTTATAAATTATTTAACGATGGTTTTAATTCCTTTAGGGTTCATTTAGTTTATGTACATGTCGTGCATAAACTTAAAAACCTAGTGAGATCTAAAGCCTCAGCTGAGGAGAAGAATAATAATTAGAGATTTTTAAAATGTAATATTTTCATGCATAGACATATGGTGGTTAGGGTTATGGGCTCTTAGAAAAGATAGTAAAATTATAGTTCGGAGAAATCCTAGCTAATACTCCTACGAGCTCAATAGAAACAAGTACTTATGCTCTGATTCACAGAAACATTAGGAGAAACCACTCTTATGTAAGTATATAGTTTTAAATATCGTATGTTCATAGATTTAAAATTAGTGAGTTTATCTATAGCAACTATAGCTTTTTTACTTTGAATTGTCTAACCTTATGTGAATCGACTGACAAGATAAATAGAGTAGTTTATTAAACACTACTAAAGTGATTTTAGGAAATTTTAGTTATCATAGGAACGTCACTCTTCTCATCACTTTATTAATTGGCATGATACATATACTTACGTAGAACATGAGTTATATTGTAGAATTAAGTAAACCATAATAAAAAAGACAAAGAAATGTGGGTGAAGTGCCTATTAAGTTTTTGGCATTATTGCCGAAGATTTTAAATTAATTGTATTATCTTTCATTTTATATTACTGAACAATTTTCCAATTTAATCTATTCTTTATTTTTATTTAACATGCTCTATGTTTCCCTGCTTATTGTTAAATTTTCAGTGTTTTACAAATTTTATATTGTGTTAATACATGCATAGTAATAAATAATAAGTAGAAATCTTGTTTGATGTTAAAATTGAAACTACACTTAAAAAATTAGAAAAGCTCAATTTTTTTTAAAATGATTTAAAAATTGATGAACAAATTGTAGAGAATAATCAACCTAGATCACCTAGAGAACATGTTAATCATATGATTGAAGTAATTAATCAAAGCATTAATAGACTTAGCATTCACATTAACAATAAATGAAAACTTGCAATAATTCAAATGGTACAAAATTCTTAGTTTAAGAAAGCATCAATAAAAGATATTAATATGTATATAGTTAATTGTCTTGAAATATGTGCCTCCTTTAAATATGACAGTGTATTTAATGATGCAATTAAACTTAAGTTATTTCAATTTTTATTAACAGACAAAGCTAAGATGTGGTTAAATTCATTACCCCAAGCTCAATCACTTCATGGAATGACTTAACTCATAATTTTTTAGCTAAGTACTTTCTCCCATAAAAAATTGATAAAGTTAGAATGATATCACCTCATTTAGCTAGTTAGATGGTGAATCTATTTATGAGGCTTGGGAATGATTTAAAGAATTATTTAGAAAATATCCTCATCATACATTACCTGATTGGCATATTATTCAAGCTTTTTATAATGATTTGATAAGCTCTCTTAGATCCATTAGATGTGGTTGCTAGTGGATCATTGATATCCAAACCATTCAATGAAGCTTATGCTTTGATTACAAAAATGGCTACCAATAATTTTAAAAAGCCATCTAAAAGATTTAACTGTATAAAGGTAGTTAGTATGTATGAATTGGATGCTCAATCTATTTTAGCAACACATGTAGCTATTATATCTAGAAAGTTAGAAAATCTTGGAGTTAATTCACCCAAAAATCCATCTTTACTTATAGAAGAGAATATTTTTGGACCCTTTAGTGACCCAAATGCAGCAGAAATAGAGTCCCTTTATGCCATCAATAATAGAACTAATAAATCATTTTCAAACACTTATAATTCTGGTTGGAGAGATCATCCTAATTTTAATTGGAGTATAATCAAAATTCTATTAATAATTGGAACTCTAACCAGTCAAATTAAGTAGAAAATTAAAACCACTCTCCTCAAAATTTTGCAAACCCAAACCCTAATTATCCCTTAGATTTAATTTACATAACTAAAATAAGGATAGAAATCCTTCATTAGAAGAGTTAGTTTTATAAATAGGTACGTAATTACAAAGTCAGGCTGCTACTATTAGAAATATTAGAAATCAATTAGGGCAGCTAGCTGGATACTAAATAGTAGACCCTAAAGAACCTTGCCTAGAAAAATTGAAATAAATCTAAAAGAAAAGGGTAAGGAACCATTTAAAGTTATTCAATTAAGGAGTGGAAAAGAAGTATAGGAAGTAGTTAGGAAGGAGGAGAAGCTAGTAGAAGAAATTATGGAGGAATCCCTATTAAAACCCACTAAGTTTGAGGAACCATCTGAACCCATTAAAGAAATAGAAAAATCTATTAGAAGGTTATTGAGAGACCAACACTACCTTTTTATCCGAGATTATTAGAACAAAATTTGGATAGGTAGTTTTCTAAATTTTTAAAAATATTTAAAAAGCTTTTTAATTAATAGACCCTTTGCTGAAGACCTAAAACAAATGCATACATATACAAAATTTATGAAAGATATTTTATATAAAAAGAGAATATTAGAAGAATTTAAAACTTTAGCTCTTCTTGAAGAGTGTAGAAAATCCTGCAAAATCTTAAGGACCTTGGTAATTTCACCATCTCGATGGATAAAAAAGATAAATTTTGTGAGAAAGTGCTTTGTGATTTTGGTGCTAATATCAATCATAGGCCTTTTTTTATCTTTAAAATATTCAACCTAGGAGAAGTCCAGCCTATCACTGTTATGGTGTAGTTAGTTGACCATTCATTCACCTATCTAAAGGGAGTAATTGAGGATGTTTTTATGAAGGTTAATAATTTCATTTTCCCTATAAATTTTACATGGAGGAAGACAGGGAAATACCTATTATCATATATATACCTTTATTTGTGATGCCTTAAAATCTAATTTGAAAGAATTATTTTTTATCTTTTAATTTACACAATTAGAGCTACCTAATTTCTTTTATTAATAAAAATAGCAGCAAAAATAAAACTATCGATTAAAATATTATGTATTCATTTTTTGAAAAATTATATACACTACTTGGATCTATACAATCATATCATAAATACTCTGTTTTGACTATAAAAGAATAGGTAAAATAATAATAATCAGAGCCTAAATGATCCTAGTCAATCTCTCATTCCTACTATAAAACCTCTCCGAAGTGCATTTTTTTTAGTGCAGTTAGTCCGTACGAATAGACTTTAGTACGGGACGAATTGAAGAAAATTGTGAAGAATCTAGGGCTGCAAGCGAACCAAACGTTCGACGAGCTACTCGTTGTTCAGTTTGATTAAAGCTCATTTGTGATCGTTTAATTAACTAAACAAACAAACTTGAACAATATTTTAAATACTCGATTCTTAAATAAACAAACTTGAACACTAATGCGTTCGGCTCATTTATGTTCGTGAACAACATCATTTGAAGTTCGTGAACAAGCTCGACATTAAGCTCGATAAGAAGCTCGATAAAAGCTCGATTCGTATTCGATTTTGAACTCGTGAATAAGCTCGATAAAAATAATTAATATTTGACTATAGAATTAATAAATATAAATAATCATTACTTTTGTTATATAGACAATTGCTTTTATTATAAATGTGTTTATTCATAGATATGTTCATGAACGTGTTTATTTGATAGTTAAAAAAATTTGTTAAATATGTTCGCGAACAAGCTCGATAAACACTAAACGAACGAACATGAACTGAACATGAACCGAACATGAACACTCCTTATTTTAAATGAACCAAACATAAACGCAAACGCTAAAGCTCGAACAAACATGAACCAAACTTGAACAAGCTGATATTAAATGAACACAAACATGAACACTAACATACTCGGCTCGGCTCGGTTCATTTGCAGCCCTAGAAGAATCTGTATGGTTCGTTTGGATGAATCTGTACGAGCCTGGACGAACCGTCGGGATGAAATTTGTCTAGAGAGCAAATCGTCCAGGAACGAATACACTTCGTTTGGACGAGATTTGTCCAGAGGGCAAATCGTCCGGGATGATCCTGTTTGATAAGTATTGGGATTGAGATATTTTGGATCATTTGAGGAGAGAGAAAAAGTTGGAGAGAGAAAGAGAAGGAAAAATGCTTGGTTTCGGAGGCCGCGGAGCGATTTTTGTCCGTCGACGCAGTTGAAAGATTTATTTATCTCGCAGTAAGGACTCCGAATCCTATTTCTGATTTCAAAGATTTCAAGTTTTGGTATTTCTCTGCTCAGTTTTGTGTTTCCGTTACAAAAAAATGTGCATATCTTTGTATTGACGAAACTTTTACTTCATAACTTTTGGTATGTTGTAGAAATGATGATTCTGCATGATTTGAGTATTTTCTGGAAAGTTTTTATCATGTATTTTGAGTTCTGTGTGATTTTTATCAAATAGTAAATTATCTGGACATTGGAAAATATTGTTTCAGTACAAGTAATGTTTTGAAATGTTGTTTTATTCGATTTCTAGTAATTTGGTAATTTTCTAGAGCTGTGTATTTTGTCTATGTTTGAGATTTCTGCCGATTATACGATATTTTGATGATTCTCTTCATTTGAGTTAAATTGTATTTATTGATTGCAATGCATTAATGAGATGTATATGAGAATGTGAATATTTGATTGAATATACTACTATTACTGAAAGACAAGTAAAGACTGGTTGAACTGTTGGTTGAAGATCGACCTGTACAGGATGGTGGGCCGACGGGCTTTCCTTTAAAAAGGGTTTGGTGTTATCCTCTATTGATCACGTGATTCAATGATTGGGAGTCATAAGGAGATTATTATGCCGACGGGCAAGGGTGACGACCCTTATTGAGCCAACGGAAACAACGATACATCGATATTCCAAGATTGAAAAATGCTTAATAGCCAGTGATTGTACTTGTTAAGTAAGAATACTGTACTGGAATGCATGTGTAAGTACTATTCTTATGATTTCCTTATGGACTTATCGATATTGCTTGATTTCTTGTATCGACTGATTTATTGATATTGAACTGATTTATTGATTTCTGTATGGATTTACTGATTTATTGATATTGATGGATTTATTGATTGAGTATAGATTTATTGATGAATGGATTTACTGACGGATTTATGAGTTTACTGTCACTATACGACTTTATTGATATTGCATTGATTCATTGATACTACCGATACCAATACCGATACTACTGATTCACCGATACTAATTCATTATATCGATCTTATAGCACGTGATACACTGAATACTGACCGATACATGTGATACACCAAACATGTGATATAGAATATGATTTTACTGTATTGATTGATTTTAATTGTTATTATTGATTTATTGATTTGATTTCAATTGTTCTTACGATGTATTGAATTGATCGTTTTATGTGATTTAATATCGATTGATATTATGGACCAAAATTAATTTCTTTATTGATCTGATTGATACTATTGATATGATTGGGTGATGTTAATCGTATTTGATTTGACGGATTTACTAGTACAAACTTATTTAATGAGGATTTATCATTACTGTGCGGATTTATCGTTACTATACGGATTTACTGTTACTACACGATTTCACTGTTATAGCATAATCGTTCATGTCGTCACAGGATTACTGGATTGCATATGATTTATTGAGCAAGTGATATTGAATAACTGGAATTGCAAGCGTATGTTTTGATACAATTCTACTACATTGTTTTGACTGATGTTATAGATAAGACGACTACTGTAGAGATTTGACTCACGTACTAGTTCATTGAGCTTTATGGGATTTTCTACTGTTCATTGATTCTATCACTAATGATTTTGGATTCTATTGTTTATGCATTGAATTATGTTTATGTACTGATTTTCGTATCTGCATCAATTCAATGATCATGTGCAAGTGACTGTTATTGATTGACTGATTGACATGCATATTATTTCAGTAGCGTGCTTTGATTTCAGTTGTAGGCTTTAGTGACCTGCTGTGCTTTTTGAAGCTCATTATATGTGGTTAACAATTTCAGGTCTGAGCAAGGAAGCAGGAAGTGATGGTTGATCAAGATTGTCGACAAATCCTTTCACTATAGATGCCTGGGATGTCACACCTACTCCCTTGCCCAGACCTAAAATCATTTAACCGCATATAATAAGCTCAAGACTCCAGTAGTAACCAAATTCTATAACTGAACTCAATATAAGGAAAAGGAGAAATATACATGTCAATAATCAAATCATAACTATAACATTTATATAATCATTAATATGTGTAGAATAACTAAAATAATAATAACACAAGGCAAATGAGCTTACATGTAATAGCAATATAATTTATAAATAGTAAAATTATACGTTATGGAATCTACTAAAGTAGTATGATAGGGAAAGTAGTAAACCAGTATCGATGTTAAATCATTAAAGTTGTTGTCTTATTAGTATTATCAATTAGTAAAAAAAA